CTTGAGCCCATGACCCAAGCCATCTACCGCTTCCACCACCACCTCCGTCCATCGATAACTGCTTCAAGTTATGGTACGAAATCTGTCGGATCGGGTATCTCTCGCGTCTGGCGACGACCTCGCAAGATGGCTTTATCATTTCCTTTCGATCAGATTAGAGCTGCCGGCAGATCAACGGGTTCTCAGGAGCGGCAATCCTGATTATCGTGGAATGAGAGTTGGAGACATGATAATGAAGGATTTCGGGAGCCAGGACCGAATTTCACCGATACCTAAACGAAAGATTCAACCACTTAAAGAGAGGTCTTGGGGAGCTGACCTCGCCTGACGAGATGGACAAGCATATCAAACTGATGGAGACGGAGATCAGAAGACCATTGAACAATTTCTTTGAGTGCGTGCATACTTAATTCGATGTATTTTGCAGCTTACGTCGGATTAGCTGTGTGAAGAAAGGCATCTGTGCTGAATCGGCGGTATTGATGATTACCGAGCGAAGTCTTCCCTCTGTACACCCCTGATGCACAATGGGAGGCGATGAAAGAATTGAACAAACTCTTGTGAGTTGTACGATACTTTCTCAATTCGACGCTTAATAAATCATTATTCCTTCCTTAGTGCTTTATCCCATCCTTCGCTTAAACACCCCATCTACAGCCAAGATTCGGTCAGTGCGACGGAACGCAGAAAGATGATCAACAATATATTGTGCGTCCATTTATGCTCTCTATCATTATAATATTCAGCGATTTCCAAGAAAGGACTACGGCACCTTCAAGAACGCAAGCCACCCTCAACCTGAGGCCCCCTCAGGAGATAAGAATCGCGCCAATGAGCCCAGACGTCGCCCAACCAGGTTACAGAGCACTCCCTCTCTCGGAAAGTGATTACCCTCCATCGAGGATGCCTCGTACAACAGTAAATCGTTCGGAGAAGCAGGGTGTAACCAATCATACGCAAGCTACTCCTCGTCCCGGATCTACGCAGCCTGGAAGAACACCGCGGGAAGGACAAATTATCACGCCAAGTGCAACTGGCCTGCTCCGTCCCATTGACCGACCAGAAACAGACTCGGAGAAACCAAGTCCACCTAACCGTGACCGGAAGGAGGCAGTTTCTCGTCCAATGTCAACGCCGCCTAAGTTCCCGAGAGAACAGGCTGAAAGGATGGTCCCATATGCTGTGCCAGAGAGGATTCGCAGGGCGGAGAGACGCTCCGAACAGTCTCCGCTATCCAGCCAAAATCATACAATGCTCTTAAATAGACCCGAAATTCCTACGAGAGCTACACGGGCTCCACTCAAGCATGCGTCTTCCGATATCCGAGAAGCTGCGCCTGCGGCTCCGATGGATGACGTCGAGACCCTCGGAGAGGAATGTTACCGGGTAAGTAGGCACCGGTGCGACTCAATAAATATTCCAGCATCAACTGATCGCGGTTACGCAGGCCAGTCATTAACGACCCGCTGCATGGATCTTATCTGGAGAGGACCGGCCGATATAATGACGGGTCAGACGAACACCAGCCGCAAAATGTCGGGCTCCCGCCCGAGCCCTATGGCAACGGAAATACCCCGAACAGGTGTGCCCCGTAGATTTTTCTCATGAATAATCTATGAACTGAATATGAATAGGGACGATGACATGCGTATATTAGACGAACCTTGTTCTCGGTTATTAGCCGCTGACCAAGTGCAAAACCATGTTCAAATTTCTGCCACAGGAGGTTTAGAGCCGTCAACAGGCGCCGGGGTGTGGGCTAGTTCTAGGTAAGAGCTGGGCACTTCGAACAAGTATTCAGTACTAAGGGACATCAGTGATATACCAATCCCACAGGGATTAGACGCACCTGTTATTACTGACTCACCACCACCGCCGTATGAGGCTGTTCTTCAGTCTGAGGGGTTCAAGTACGTTTATCTATTGCAAATGGCGCAAATATGCGGCTGACGCCGATATTAGCAGTGCAGAGAATCTGCTCGGTAACAGTAGCGAAATGCGTCCATCGTCGGCCTACGGAAGAACGCGACGTGGCACTGCACCCGACCCTCCTTGGGATGCAGAATTAGTCGCCGAATTCCGGGGTGACCCTCCTGGGATTGTGGGACAAAAGTTCCTGCTTGACAGGATTACCGACGCATTTCGAGTATACAGTCCTAGACGAGACTGACGGGCGATTTCTCATCAGGGCAAAGTATAACGGCCAGCAGATGGTTCAGAAGCTCCGATATAGCGAGCTCGTCATCGGGTTGAACGTCGTAGTGCGAGACGTCCAAGCTTATTTCGACGCCAATCCCCACCGAGTTCGCGGGGCGAAATTACGAGTCACAGGTAACGACGAGAAGTACAAGATCTCTGCGTTTTACTTGGAAGATGGTATTCGGTGGTTTGAAATTACGCAAAGGTTGACGTCTGGCGAGATGTTGAGGATGATCAGGTTGAGTCGCAGATCGGACATGAGTCTTTGAACGCGAGATACGCATCCTGGCTTTTGTACGCGTTCATTTCGCTAAAGTTTATTGTGAGATTATGCATATTTACGAAACCAATTGCAGAACTTACTGATATGGTTAGGCTACTCTGTCAGCATTTCACTAGGTCAAACTCGCGGTTTTCTGCTATTCACCGAAAATTTCTCCTTTCAGGATAGATGATGATACGGATTTTGCGAACGTGCCATGGATTGATGATGTCTCGACATAATTTGCAGAGTCATTCCGTTTGTCGACGCCACCATCGAAGTATGTTGGAGAGAATTAAAGTTTCGTCGCCCGGCGGACTCCAAATATTAGTAAATAACCCTACTCGGTCCGACTTCCGCCCTTTTTCTCCGCCATCGAGACCGTCCAATCTCTCGGCGTCGTTCTCGTCCTCTTTCGTCATGTTTCGTGAACAGCTTCAGTCTTGCCTCATTTGATCTAGAGGTCTCTGGGCCTCTATTAAACGGTGATAAATATCTACTAGCGTTTTTCTCCTCTGGTTCTGCCTTCTCCTTCGCGAAGGGAACTGTATACATATGACACATGTACCAACCCATCAGCGACATTCAATCAAGACTTGAACATCATCGCAAAATCTCGGACTTGATATCCAAATGCGGTTCGCACTTGCTCAGATCTTCCCAGTCCCACTCATTATTGCAATTAATTTCTTCGACCGCCTTCGACCATTCGGTCTCGAGCTCTGCAGATCATAAAGTTCCCCGTCAATAACTGAGGGTTAAGAATGACGCAGCTTGATTCTAATGGCCGCTTAATAATTCTGCTTCGGCGTCGAGGGCCAGGATACTGACAAAGTCACGGTCTTCCTAGTCATCCCCCGAGGTAGCGTCATCCGCACTGCATGCTTCAGGATCCACCCATACCACCTCTGTCAGTACGCTACACCGATCCCCTCCGTTCCACCTCCAGTCACAAGTCTTGACGTCAAGGCTGTGAAGGCCGAAGTCTTGCATGTGGCGCAACGGTGATTTAGAGGGCACAGTGCTGATGCTGGGAAAGCTACAAGCCTCCACGGACGATGTCAACGCCCGTATTCAAACAGGGTTGCTTGACTCACACGGCGTCATATCCACCGCAGCCCCCTCCCCCTGAGTCACTCAAACTGTATTTGAAGCACCCACTTATCTTTTCATTACCGAAGCGCATTGCCTCAGGGTCAGCGGCGAGTAAATTGACGAGATTCCCGAGGAGCGTTGGGCAGATCCTGCATTGTTACATTGCATCTTGTATCTTGTTTTCTGGCCATCAACATTTTTCGGAATAACAGCGCTGATAGCTCAGTCGCGCCATCGTGTCATGCGGCGCCGGCGCGATTGATACGGGTGCGGCATGTGCGCCAAATGAAAAAAAAAAACAAGAGGAATACTCGTCGGGAATCGGTCTTCTCTCCGATCAGAAGGTATCAGAAAGACTACATGCGATCAAGTATGTCGGTTCGCGATTGCCTGTTTTACGATGAGTTCTTCAGACAAGTAAACATTGGACCGGAGGACCGAGGCAGACATCGTGTATGGAACACATTGGGGGCGTATCAGAGAGTTCTTTCTGGAGGTAATAAGAATCAATTCAAACGGAGTCATTTGATGATTCTCGGCTTGTGATGAGTGCTTGGATTTGATAACGAGCCCAGTGATCTACGGGGTTTGTTGCAAGCCTACTGTGCGGCAGTAGATTGACGAGCACAGTTATGCAATTAGAGCATAGAGCCTCCGCATATTGCTATGACCTATATAGAAAGATAATATCTCAAAGTTGGCTACATCGCACAACCAGCGTCAACCGAGAAAGTACACGTACTTCGGAAAAATCACCAAGTGTTTGGGCTTTCGGCTGATCCAGATATCGGAATAGGCCCTGCACCGTCCGTTGTCCCGAGTGACACATCCAGAGATATTGTGCAGTGCTGGCAGCGCACGAAACCTAAATTGATCATCGGTAAATTGACTGGCTTTCGTCGAAGTAAAGTCAACTTACCTATCATGTGTAACTGTCAAATAAGCGTAAGCATAATACAAGCACACTTTCTTGACGAGGCACAGCTGTCTAATAAATAAAACGTTAAGAATACGAACACGTAGGTCCTATATAGCACCCTTTTTATTGGGTAGGGTTGCACACGAAACTCCAGGTTTTGATACAAGAGGGTTACGGACCGATTAGCTACCCGTGATTTCAAACCTACCCCGCTGGAACGGATTTCGTTGAGGTAACATGTGAGGATATACAAGTAGCCATGTCACCGCTATACTCCGTCCTACTGTCCATATTTATTTACAGTGTGAAGCACACCTCTGTAGTGATTTTCAACAAACAATCCGCAGTGTGTCAGACAACACTAAGATGAAGACAATTGCGCAGTCAGTCATATGTGAGGGCTACACGTGATAGGGTAAGTAACGGTAAATTACCGTATCAAAACACATCCCTCGTAGACAGGTCGGTTCAAAACTGTAGGGTTGGGAGTAATTTATAATAAAAATCCACGAGGAAAGGGATTATTTCCCGCTAGCCGGATTGAACGACTGACCTTGTCATGGTACATGTAGAGTACGAGTGACACGCTCTACCACTGAGCTAAGAGGGACGACATTCCAAGTGTAAGATCGAATTAGATCATCCCTCTAACAGATTCTGACCTGCATTACGTCCTTTTCCCCACATCGTTAGCAACATCCCATCGGAGACACGTACAACATGTGGAGACTCGGTGACGAAAAAAATTCCCCCCCTTTCTCCGGATGGTTTCATTCCAATTGACCGGTCCGCACACTGTAGCGTTTCAGGATTTTGAGTTTCGAACTGACCGAACCCTGTTTATCTATAGTGTATACGTATGCGTATGAGGACGGTCCGAAGCTTGATTCAGAGGTTTTAGCGGTCCCGAGTATGGCAGCGGGGCGGTGCGCTTCACGTAAGGCTTTTCATTAATCTTTGGTGGACATCATATGTATGTGTATACGTAGGGACTTGGTCGTGTATCATTGCGCAGTTCAATCTGGTTATGTACGTACCTGAAGATCACGTACCTGATCATGAAGCGTGGAGGTCAATGAAATGAAGCGTCTTTCACCGGAATGGGAAAGGATGCAGAAGGACTCGCAGTTCCGTACGACCACTGGTCATTGTTAATCAGGGCTTCATTGCTATCAAAGTTATGCATATATCTCGTGATCGTGATGAAACTTGTATTTCGAAAGGCCGAGTGCGCACTGCTCACGCAGTCACGCTGATACTGAAATTCAAGATCTTTAATGTAGAAAAAGCAAAACAGCAGTTCAAAACTTAAACGGTATAATGGGGAAAAATAGTCCTCCTGAGCTGTTGTATTCCCGCTAGCCGATTTGAACGACTGACCTCGTCATGAAGCGATTTCCGGCAGAAACGTACTAGTGACGCGCTCTACCAACTGAGCTAAGAGGGAGACAAATTACGTTTAAAGACAGACAACTTCAATGTCTCTCGCATTAGCGCATGCCCAGAACAGACACTAAACTCACACGTTTTTGTGATATGGGGACACATATATCAAGCCCCAAATCATCCTGGGACGGCGGGTGACATATACTGCTCCGGAATGTCATCTTCAGTAACACGTCCTGATCCCAGCACCCTGATCGAAGAGACTGAGGTTCAAGCTGGATGGGACCGGCGGGAGGTGAGGCCGTACCTGATCAGGCTCTATTAATGAAACAAAGATCCAAGGGGGTGGATGGAGGTAATTTTGCGTTGCGCGGAAGTAGAGGGACTTGTAGGCCAGCTTCGAGCGACCCACGCCGGCGATCTCCTCCTTTGCTGCGAAGCCTCTGGTGAGAGGAAGGGGGAAACCGCCGGCAATCGGGGGAGGCTTGGGAAGGCGATGTTCGTCAATCGTGAGGGATTGGGGGTACGAAGGTTATGCATTGATTGATGAGTGAAAACTGATAGACGTGGTATTGGATGGAGAACGAGGGATCTCGGGGCCGTTAATGGCTGTATGTAGGGCGTGGGATTGGTGCAGCGACTGGGTATGTTCCTGATCATCTCATAGAGGGTGGGCCTGATCTCGTGGTATGTCAAGCGCTGATCCGGGGAGGTAGAGCTTGCGACGGTGGTGTTTGTTCGTATGTCAAATTGCGGGGTGGCCAGGGCGAAGACACGTTGCTGGTGGCGATGGTCAAATTGTGGAGAGTTAATTTTGAGGCCAGGTGTCTCAGGTGGAATTGGAAGGAAGAGTTTCGCTCGTGGAACGAGGTTCCTGATCATCATATAGACTGGTGGGTATATGTACATAAGAACTTACGGTGTTCATAAAACCAGGAGGAATTATTACGAGGCGAGTGATCCGGGGGGGGCAGAGAATGTACGTTATAGTAATGTGATCCGACGCAATGGGGATACAAATCGGTGGAGAAAAGTGCGTAATGTCAGCGAGTCAATGAAAGGTGGATTGATAGATATCGGGTCATCACGATTTCTGGTGCGAAAAATGCCGTATGGACGTACAAGACCATAAATACACGGTTGCGGACTGAGCTTGCCGTCAAACGATAGAGAGTAACGGGAGGGGGATTGGACGTGGCAGCCCAGGCCATGCAGTGGGGCTCTGATCCGGCGAGAGAGCTCATGACTGCGCGTGTACCCAGACGCCCAGAAGAATGAAAAATCGAACGCAGAGAAAGAAGACAGAACCCTGGATGGGGGCATGTGGTACCTGATGATCTTGTTCCTGGATGGAGCATGGCTGAAATGGTCGGCAAGCAAGTGACATGACGGGTCGCCACGATGTGAAATGTCGTTTGAAACGACGAAGAAAATTTGCGTGCTAGCTGTCTTGAGCAGAGGCTGTTCGCAGAGGGCAGGATATCGCAGCATGTGGACACGGCGGTAGAGAGGAACGATCTCGGGATGGTGATTGGAGGAGATAGCATGGCAGCCAGGCAGGGCGCTCTGGACCATATTTGATCTTTCTGATCTTTTTTGATTCCGAGATGCCGATGTGAGGAACGTGACGGTGTGACCCTATCTGCATGTATTTGGTTGCGACATGGTCGGATCCGAGATACTGGTAGGTTCAGCCTTTCAGACTCCGCTGCGACAATCAATGTACCTTAAAATCGTTCCTTTCAACAGAGTACCCATGGTTCGTGGACGTACTCCCTCCCCTGATCAGCCCAAGCCGCATCCGTCCTCGTCCTCGTCGTCTGACCCGATGGCCACCATGGTTGTCCCCCCGCCGTCTGCTGCAATCACCAAGCGCTACCGCCCCGCCCCCGCCAAGACCTTCCAGTGCCGGGGCTATGGAGAGTGTCGCATGGTCTTCAGCAGATCAGAGCACCTTGCGAGGCATATCAGGTACCGTGCCTTCCCTTTGCTCTGCCCAGCTCCTCATCGCGTCGCAGGAAACACACTGGCGAGCGCCCGTTTACCTGTCACTGCGGGAAGCAGTTCTCGCGGCTCGACAACCTGCGCCAGCACGCCCAGACGGTGCACTCGGACAAGCAGGAGGACAACGAGCGGATGATGCGCGATCTCACGACGCTGCACGCATCGATGGCGGCGGCAAACAAGTCCCGGGGGACCCGGCGCGTGCCGCCCAAGGTGCCGGACACAATTCGGCCTGGCACAAGCACGGGCTACGAAGGCGACACCTGGCACATATCCACGCCGACGTCGGCAGGCAGCGACCACAGCGTTGCGCATCCGAATTCGGCCTCCGCCGCCTCTGCCGGACCAGGGAGTAATTCCTTTCGGTCCTTTCGTGACCCCCGGAACGGCCAGTCCTTTCGTGACCAACCATCCGTCGCCGGCGCGACCCAGCCCGCCCAGCCATCTAACCCAAACGCCATCCCCGCCGCACTCGGCTTCTCCTCCCGCCCCGGCACTGCCAACGGGCCCACCCTCCCGCCGCTCTCATCCCTCATCCCCCTCCCACCTCCCCCCCAGTCCTCCTCAGGCGGCCACCATTTATTTCGACGCCCCTCCACCGCCAGCTCATCCTCATACCCTCCCTTCTACCTTAGACCAGGCACAGCCCCAGCCACATCAACCCCCTATCAACAACTGGTATCTCCCTCAGCAGCAGCCCTCGCAGCAGCAGAATCTGAGTCTCCATTTTCCTTCCACGTCCCCGCTCAAGACGGAGCCGACTACCCCTCCAATCCCTCTCTCGGCACAGATGACACCGGCTCCCGACCACAGTCGCGACGACTCTCGGTCATGGAGCTCTGTAATGATCAGCCAGCAGCAGCAGCAGCAGTATTACCACCACTACGCGATGCAGCAGCCCCAGAGGGTTCCTCAGAGGTATATGGAAATTGAGTATCCGCCCTTTGGCGAGTACGAGTACCAGCCGTATCAGAATGGTGCAAATGGGGCGTCGGAGAATGGGAATGGCTTCCGTTCGCCGAACGCCGGCTTTGACGAGTTTACTGGTGAGAACGGGTACCCACAGCAGCAGCAGCAGCCACAACAACAGCCGCAGCAGCAGTGGTATTCCAATGCGGGCACATATGGGTATTATGGTGACGGTGACCGCTGATACTTTTGTTTTTATTCTTTGGGCTTTCTCTCTTTTCGTCCTTGCTCTAACTCTCTCTTTTTCCACTGCCGCTCGTTGTTTCGTCTCCCCCCCCTCCCCCCAAGTCAATTTAATGTTATATATATCGATATCCCGTTACTACTATGCTTTGTGTTTAATTGTCGTTTTTCGCCTTTCCCTTCGTAAATACGCAGTGTGTGTACATATCCCCCTTCGTTTAGTTGATTGGTAGCTCTGCTTGTGTACATATTTAGTGTACATGGGAGGGTCTTCAATGATATCCGAAAAGTGTCCCGAGGAGGGACCGTGTTGTGTCAATTATTTTCAGTGCATGTTGAGCGAACAGCGTGGTATGGAAGTGTGATAGCCGGTGCCGAGTGGGCGAATACTTTAAATGCCAGAGGTACCGACGGGAGAGGGATTCTCAGGTTCAGGGCCGTGCAGTAGAGGGAGGGTACCTGATTAACGGCAGTTTGAAGGTTTTGACGCTGGGGTGATCTTGTACTGGTTCTCTATGATGGCTATATATGTATAGCTAAGTCCCTCTTAGCTCAGTTGGTAGAGCGCGTCACTAGTAGTCGCTATGACGAGGTCAGTCGTTCAAGTCGGCTAGAGGGAACGTCAGTAGTCCTTGCATCGCCCTTTTCTTACTTTTTCTGCTTTCGGCGTTCGCCGTTCACAGTGTGTATTATTTGTCGTCCATGAAGGTTTTCCACAGTTTAACTTACAAAGGCGGATTTGCCAGGACAGGTTCCCCCTCACTATTTACATACACAAACGATTCTGCTCCGCGCCCGAGAGATTCTCGCGCCGAATCTCCAGATGACCGCATTAGATACTATCCGTTTTAGCATAAGAGGCCCAGGCGAGAACTAGCCAAGTGACTGTGTTCTCACTCATCAAACCACGGGGCTTATAAGACATCGCCAGAAAGTGAAGATGGGATCGCTATTAAAAAATGACAAGCAAACTGACTTGTTGGGAACAAAGATCATGAAGATTTTATCATACACATTTGTATCCAAACAGCAGAGACGGTTTGATACCAATCATATAGAGTACGATACGCACGATTGTCTCCCCAAAACAGGAATCCTTAAAGACGAAAGAGCTGTATACGACCACTTCTCTTCCATCATCCTCTTCGGTAGAGAACCCCCAGCCACGAGATGAAAAGTGGCGATAAAATTTAGAGAAGCCCTCGGAGCCGGAGAAGGACTCGGACTCGTTGGGTCATTATGTGGTAAAAGTAGCCAGGCGAGTCCGAGTACTGCATCTGATCAGAACGAAAAAAGTTTTCTGCGTAGATCTGAGATGGGGGGAGGTATTAATATATGTTACCCTGGGGCGGGATGGGGGGAATACAAGGCGGGATTAATTTGGGTTGGGCGTTGATTGATTTGTATTTTTAATTTGGAGTCGATGATCGGAGGGGCCGGGCCGGTGGGACGAGGCTTGACTTTGGACTACGACGATGGGAAAAGCCTCGGTATTCAGACTTGCTGCGGCTCCCCTGCGTTCTAGGCAGTGTGCGATGCGTCTTGCCTTACTGAGAAGTGCGATTGTTACTCTCGTGAGGAGCTACCGTGACTGAGGTCATGACTCGGTTGCGGAGACTCTGTCTTTTTCGCTGTCTTTGTTCTCGTATTCATCTCTCTGGCCGATAGATATGCCGCAGCTGTTGATGAGAGGTGCATTATCCACTATTCAAACTATTCCACATGCTAATAAAGCATTTCCTCTAGTTCAAGAAATCTCGAATGTGTCTACCCCAAGTAGGGATCTCGCGCACATCGCAACAAGTGAAGCGTGCTGTTCTCTACTATCCCTCCCCGTGACGTGCTCTCTCTATCGGCTCCCTCGCATTCTCGGCAGTGTGGAAGCGTCTTACCTTACTGAGAAGGGCGATTGTTAATCGCGTGAGGAGCTACTGAGGTTGTGACTCGTTGCGGGGGACTCTGTCCTGTTCTCGTATTCAGCTCTCTAGCCGATAGATATGCCGCCGGTGTCGATGAGAGGTACATTATCCACTATTCAAAATCTTCCACATGCTTATAAAGCATTTCCTCTAGTTCAAGAAATCTCGAATGTGCCTAGCCCAAGCAGGGATCCCGCGCGCATCGCAACAAGTGAAGCGCGCTGTTTTCGGATTTCCTCCCCGTGACGTGCTCTTTCTATTGGTGCACAACTCCCGAGGTTGACAATGAGTAAGACCTGTCCTCTGACATGCATTCTTGAACCAAGTTGGGGATATCTGTGCGTCATACGGTGCGATTATTACCAGGTACATTCTTATGCTCAGTCATCTCTCTCCGGGAAATAGTATATATGGCGGTGGATTTACTTGGATGTATCGCCTCATCATTGCTACGAAATGAAACATTTCTTTCTGCTTGCTCTTACCGCGGTGTCGTTCGTTCATGCCAGGGTATGGAACGATACTGGTGTTGGAGCTATCGTCTTTGAAGAGGCATGGACAACTGCAGAACTTGCGGCGACAGTGGGGTAAGGGTTATCTTCTAACGGGACATCGCAAATATTAATTGGAATAAATGCAGTGCTGCACCCGCTCTTGGTGTGTGTCTTGGTCTTTGGTGCCTATAGCCAAGCTGAATGAGTGCCATGCCAGGCCAAACTATCGGAGAACTTCGTGCAAATCTCGTTGATGTCCATAATCAGAGGCTGGCGCAAATGGATGAGTTTGGTATTGACTTCGTGAGACGCCTCCGTCCTCTGAAGATACGCTGATTCAAGAACGGCGCACTCAGATGGTTCTCTCGTGCGCACAACCTTGCATCCAAGGAGTATCCGATCCAGAAACAGCCGCTGCGATGGCCGTGAATCTCAACAACGTCCTAGCGGATCTCATTTCGAACAATACTCTGCGGTTTGGCGCTTTCGCAGCTTTATCTATGCACTACTGCCTCTGTAGCTGCTCAAGAACTCAACCGGACCGTCAATGAAGCTGGGGTTCCTCGGAGCTTTGGTTAATGATTATCAACAGTCCGGACCGGATAACGGTGTGTCTCCGTGTTACCCCCACCGGCGCATGAGGTATCTAACGTGTCTGCAGACACGCTCTTGTACTATGACCAGCCGGAATACGATGAGTTCTGGCAGATGGTCACGGACCTGGACGTTCCGGTGTACTTCCACCCCAGAACGAATGTCCCACTCATCTCGTCTTTGGTATATAGCCATGGCTTCGGTCTCAGAGGCGCTGCCCAAGAATTCGCGGCCACACTGTCCACACACATATTGGGACTATGCACAAACGGGGTTTTCGAGTAAGCGCATTTCCCATTTTGCGTTTGTGTACATGTGCGACTGACACAAATACGGACAGCCGGTTCCCAACTCTCAAGATCATTGTTGGCCATCTCGGGGAGAGACTTCCCTCGGATTTATTCAGGACTGATGAACGTGAGTGTTCTTGTAATAGTATGCTATCTTTCACGGGCTTGATCCATCTGTTGTGAAAGAACTCCTTCGCCAAGGTTCCCCTGGGAATTCCTATGCAGCGGAATGCTTCCTCGTATTGGCTCACGAATTTATATGAGACGACGGCTGGAAACTTCGCGACGCCGTTGCTGCAGTTCCACAAGTCCCAGATAGGTTTGGATAGGATTATGCATTCGATTGATTATCCCTTTGCTCTGATCAGCGAAGGCCAGGAGTGGGTCGATAGTCTAGCAGATGTACTAACAAGCGAAGAGCTGCTAGGACTGAAGAGGGGTAGTGCGATAAAGATTCTGAAGTTGGATGATTAATTCGTTCGTAATCAAAGTGAGTCCATGAAAGTATATAACTGCGTTCACTTTGTTTTTCTCTCCATTCCTTGCGAACTAATAATACATATTGGTGTGTGACACATGTCTTCTTTCATATCAAAGTTTGCCATGACTGAACTGTTCTTTTGCGGCCCCATAAATGACCATTGCTTTAGAGGCGTGTTCATTCGATCTCATATTGATTGTCTAGGCTTCGAAGTTCGATCGTTAAAATTATCAATCGTCCCGATGAAGTTCTTCTTTGACACAAGAAATGATAAGATAAATTGCCCCTGTCATGTACGTACATCCCGACAGCCAAGTCTGAGCTTCACTCTTCACTCTTCAATCGCAAATCTCCATGGCAGAACCTCACTTCTTTTCAAAATAATCTAACCAGTCCGGCCACAACTCTGACTCCATTTCCACCCTGCGGCTCGTCTTCATCATGTTGCGGAGCCTCGAGAAAGTGACCTTGGCTTCCAGGTTGAACTTCCATTCCTCGTCGCACCAAAGTTCTTTGACCGTAAACCGGAAAGCCTTATCCCTGGTTACGAACGTTTTCTTGTAGACGACCGCCGGGTGCCCATCAAATTTCCGCAGGATATCAATCATCTTGTTGCTAGGGTCATTACCATGGACTGACGTGGCCAGAAATTGATACAATGCGTCCTTCCTATACGCCAAATCAAGGATGAATGCCCACTCCCCTGATACTTTCCCTCCCTTCACAACTTTGAATGGTACGCAGTTGGCGTTATAATCCCACAAGAACACCTGTTTTGGATTTCGCTTCTTAAATGCGAACCAGGGATTTTCATCAAACATCATGGCGAGATCTTCCTCTTTCGGGATGGGAAACGACGATTGGTCCGGGTTTGGCTCGTCATCTTCTATGTTTCTTTTTGCAGGTGATGGGGTGTTGGGTCCACAGCTAGAGCTACGACGTCGTCTTTCAGGTCTCTTGGGTGCTGCTGGATTTGACTCTGGATTATCTGAAAAAGCCTCTCTGATTATGGTGAGGAGCTCTGAATCTCCTGAATCATCGTCGTAGCTAACAGGGCCGTTTAGTTTTCTTCTGACATGAAGGCTGGCAGGGGTCTTCTCACTTGAAGGGAGTCTCCGAGTCGAGGTTGTCGAACCCATCTAACTCAGCAGGTTCTGCTGCAGAGGCAGAACGTAAATTCTCAGAGGTAGCCCTGGATTGGTTCGTGTTTCCTCGGGGGGGCTGCTCCTTTTGCTCGCTATTCGCCCTGTTAAGGATGTCACTTCTCCCTGTCTTTCAAATCTGAACAGGGCGCACTTTGATTTGTACTTTGGATTATCAACACCCGGTGCTTTGCTCCGCATTGCCTCTAGAATGTCTGCAAAGGTATTTCGAGGCCTGCGAGTTCCCATAATCGTCCAGCGTCTTCTCTTGGATGATTGTGGCGGCTCACTTTGTTTCCTTGACATATACATTCACGAATTGATAGGGAGATCGAGACCTTTCATGACCAATAATAGGTGGATCTGCCACACGCGACGCTCGATGCACAAGGATGGGGTCTCTGTCACGAATGTCATAAGTATGCGAGCCGAAACCCCCGACCAGAGGACATAGCATACTCTAGTTTGGCAATCCTCTTCTTAATCTCCAGCGTCATAGGGTTCGGATCTTCCCACTGGGGTGCCACAATTCTCTGAAATTCGTGTTCCTGCTTCTTATCTCTACAAGGAGGCTTAAGCAACTCTTGGCAGTTGGCGTGAGTTCACGCACAAATAATAATCGAGGAGATTCAATGATGTCTCCACTACTGAATCTGGCGCAACGGGAAGTATGCCTTGTGTGATGAGTTTCACAGCCGATTGGGCGCAGATAAATTTCATTTCATATCTGCTTCTCTGTGAGTGCATATCATCCCATGCGAAGTCGGTACTTACTCCTTACTAGATTGGATGGCCGTTGTCCTGCAAATACTTTCCAGGTATTCCAAGTGATCGTTCATCTCGTCGAAGGTGCTTAGAGCTCGTCGCTTCTGGTCTATTTTTTCGATTTCCCTGGTCCACCAATCCTCGAATTCCTGTCTACTCCCAAAGATCAAGGATAGACGAATTCTGCTTGCATTAATATCGCTGCAATCGTCTTCCTGAGAGTGTGAACTTTGTATTATCGAGAGAAAGTGATGCAAAGCATGTGAAATGGTGATACAGGCGTTCCAATTCCTACTATCTCCAGGTCGATCCATTCATGGTGCTGTGGGTAGAAGGGTAACAGATGGCGTATTGATAAGAGCGTCTACGCCCGCTGTTCCTATCTGCGTTTGGGCATCTGTCACGCTTGGGCGCCTATTCACTGCTACGTCATAGCTACATGATTTCTTGCTCATCCTGAAAATAGGTAAGCATCTGGCCTACTATTACACAACCGACGCGTCTACAAGTCTGCCCCCACGGACCTTTTAGTGGATGGTGATACAGGGATCAAGATTTTCTCCCATACCGCTTTTCGGCACTTGTGGATGAAGAGTCAAGACTTTATCATCTGGTATATATATTGTAAGGTTTTAATGTGTATGCTTCAGGCACTTGGATAACAGTTGTTTACCGGTGCGCTAACCAGTCATGGCAGGAGTCGATTGGACGCCAAATCTTATCTTGAACTTGAAGGCACGATCGTCTCGATCATTAACTGTTCGACATGAAGTGCCAAACCTTACCCTAGATCCGCCTAGATTGAAGCAAATTGGTGCGGCACGTCGGATATTAAAGATCCTGCTATTTGAAGATATCTTATTGCTTTATCTGATTGGTCTAGCATCAAGGCGCGTTATTGTGAGGCTAACAAGAACTCGAACGCAAGTATCAATTACATCCACAAGGTTTCAGATCCTTTCTCCATCCTCAAACTCTGGCCCAACATGCTCTTCAGGACATCGAACGTCACTTTACGCTCTAACCCGAATTTCCACTCTTCTTCTATGTAAACGTCGACAACCTTGTAGAGGATACCACCCTTCTCTGCGGCTATCAGCCGTTTATGAATAGAACTCGGGTGGTGAACGAGCGTTTGCACGAGGTCCTCGGCCATTTCGTTGTCTGTTGGACGACATGACTGCAATAACTGTCGCATCTGCTCCGTTGTATATGTCAAGTTGACCACGAAGGACCAAACGTCGCCCTTTATGCCTCCCCGAACCACCCTAAAGGGTACCTCACAGTTCCCTCTGCGAAGCAAAAAGTATTGTGTTGGGTTGATGTATTTTGTTGTGATAGCGAAAAAGGGGTCTTGTTCGAATCTTTCTCCAAGGTCGAGACTTTTCTCCGAGGCGTTATTACTGGTTGGATGGTATGAAGGGGGGCTGGGTGATAAACGACTCGAAAGTGAAGAGCGATTTGAGGCGTCGCTATACATTCCTAATGAGTCGGCCTGGGGCTGGGGAGGATCGCTATGATTGTTGATGTTCCTCATAAAGGCTGATGCTCCTGAAGTAGGCATACCCTCCTCGCCATCGTCTTCTCCCCTAACGCGAAAATCAGGCGCTGATACCCTCGGGATCACTGACATCTGTACGGACCTTAGCAAGGGTTCCTCGTCTGCCAAGGTGGCATCGTCGAAATGGAAGGCACTGCTGGTACTACTAAGATCATCTGAGGCATTGGAATCTGCGTCGAATGGCTTCTTGACGTTATATGAGTTGGGCCATCTTCAAATCGCGGTTAATGCAACATGCAATAATCACGATACATACGACGTACTGGAAATCTCTCTCGAATATATTGTTTTTAGACAGCAGCTCCTTCCTCTCAGTTTTCGCTTGAGCCGGTTGCTGCTCTTCGGGACCGAGATCGCCGGTAATGGCGTCATATCTCTCCTGTTTTCGTTGACTCGTAGCATTCTCGCTCGGTGGGTGCAGTGCTCGGGTTCTGTTCTATGCGTTAGGCCCTTTCGTTAGCAGAGACGAAAATCAGGGTGCGTACTCGAGCTCTTCCAGCCGATTATGCAGTTTCTCACAATTAATACCGCCCGTATTAGATTCTGACCCTAAGGAGTACCGAGGTTCAAGTAGCCTTGTGTATTCATACATATCATACATGTCCTGGTTGATTTGATTTCTATAAGGGAGTTTACGCAACGCGTCGCTCCAGTGAATTCTGGAACTCACAGGTAGAATTCAAAATAATCGAGGGACCGCCACTGCAATGGCATTGAGATTATGGGGAATATACCTCTGATGATTGTCTTTATGGCGGATCGAGCACTGATAGGCACCCGCATATAACTAGGCACGTAAGTCAGGAGTATCGCAGGGCTAAGTACTAGGACTTACTCTTCGAATGTTTTCAGGGTTTTGTTACACAGATCATCCATCTTCATCAAATACTCGTCCATTTCGTGGAACGACTGCAGCCTTTTCCTATCTTCGGTGAATTGGTCAACGATCTGGATCCACCTATTCTCAAACTTTTCCATGTTTCCGAAAACCAGCACCTTTATTTCGTCTTCGCTTCCGCTTGCGAGATGAACGTTCTCCTCCAGGAATTGTTGAAGATACTCCGCCTGAGGGATACGTAAGACCGAAGCAAAGTGGTAGAGTGCTTGGCCTAATCGGCAAGCGACTTTTTCATCATAGTCACTACCAGTGCTCATGGTGGTGGGGTGTTGAGTTATGTCGAAGCATCTATTGAAGCAGGTGAAATCTACTTGCTGCCCATCTACCATGTGGTGGGCATGAGGTCAAAGTCAGGATTAGATTCATACCAACATATATAGTAAATACATAAAGTGAATAAATAGCAGATCCCTCTTAGCTCAGTGGTAGAGCGTGTCACTCGTATGCTATCGTACTTTGAAGGGATGACAAGGTCAGTCGTTCAATCCGGCTAGCGGGAATCATTTTGCCCTGCAGTTCTTTTTCATCTCATCCACGCCAAGTACCCGGGGCCCAGGGGCCAGGTGGGCCAGTATGGCCACTGGAATTCAAGTAGGTTAGTTAGTAGGTCAGTTGTTTAGTTACGGATACTGCACAAACCAGGTTTAGACGCATTTGGATTACCGATGACCGGCAAGTAATTGTAGTGCATGAGTGTATGCCTTACATTCCCTTTTATCGGCTAGAACTGAATTGCCTTCCCAAGTTGTTTACTCAGACCTAATTTCGTGGTACTCAAGAAGATTTTCTCTCATCTTTGACGAGCACGATCGGGTAATGTGTAGATATCGTCGACGGGGAATCCTTCTTAGCTCAGTTGGTAGAGCGCGTCACTTGTAATGACGAGGTCAGTCGTTCAAGTCGGCTAGGGGGAACTCAATTAGCTTGCTCGATGTATATTTTTATTTGAAAAACTATATGTTTTTCCATTGTCAATTGTCGAGACTAGTCACTAGAATCAAGTCATTTGACCAGCTCAGCGGGTGCTGCTGATCCGTCACACCATATCTTTAGTCGATTAGTTCACAAGCTAAGTTAGACTTAAGAGATAGAGATCGTGACAGCGGACAGTATACATTGGTATCTAATATTGTTACAGGAATGCAGTTGAAACGAAGCGCGTCCAATGGTCCAAGAAAAGTCCGAGTCCTACCATTATGGTCCTTGCACCATGTCTACCTCCAAAATTCCCCTATCGCTCAACATGCCCATCCCTCTTCTCACCGCAGCCAAGCACTCCCTCTCCAACGGGTCCCTCATGGACCGTTTCATATCCCTGACAGGTATCTCAAACCTGACCTTCCTCTTCACCACCATCATCGCTTCCTCTAGTCGCCTCCACTCATCCCGAGGACAATCTATAATGGCTTTAGGGTGCGATCGCAAATTAAAAGTGACAGTCTCCATGCGGGACGTGTCGCGAGAGTATCGCTGGAAAAACAGCTCCGTCAATCCAGATAGGACCGTGTGGTTGGCCGCACGGTCGGAAAAGAAGTTGGAAAAGTTGCATGTGATGTTGGGAACATGGGAGATGTCCAAACCGTTAGTTGCTGTAATGGCCAGAATTCAGTTAGTTTAGTTCAAAGCTATTGTGCAGGCAGTAACGTACATGACGAGAAGCCGTGAAACACGACTTCATCTAGCGCATCGCCGGCAGCTTCGAGAAGACGCTGGAGATGGTCACTCTGATCTCCATGATCGGACCATACTTGGAGCCTTCGGAGGGAGCTGAGGTCCAACGGAGAGTGGGGGTGGGTGAGTGTGTCAATGAGAACGACAGGAACGTTCTGTATGCGCAGATATCGGAGTTTTGGTCGCTGAGACAGCTGCTCGTCGTTGATGGGAGCATTGTGCTCGCGGTCCGGATGCGCCTGAAGGCTGAGCTGGTCGCTGATGTAGACATTCATCAGTCGTAACTCTGCCAGGTCACGGCTGTTGCTGAACAGTTGGAGGAAATCGGAGGGTCGTAGGAAAGATGTATAGTTTAGGGAAAGAGATTTGAGGTGGGGTAGGGAGAAGCTTTGACATAACGAAGTACGGATGTCGCTTGAGCCGTCCCACCTTCTGTCGTAGTGTCGCCCTGAGATAGTCATCTTTCTCAGGTTGGTTAGGGAGCCAACTATTTTCGGCACGACGTTCTGGTCCTGTGTGAACCAGCTGTTTTTCCCCCAAGTAAAGTTGTAGACGGTGAAGTTCCTGACCAGGGGGGCGATACGTGTCGACCGCGCTAGCAATTTCAGGAAATCAACCGAAGGATTATGTACTCGACTCGTGTCGTCTCGAGAAGTCGAGTACGACAGAAGAGAAGAGAAGTTTCTGGGAGCGAGAAAAGAATGATTGCGAGACGAGAGAGCATGCTTTGAGCGCCTCTCGGTCGTCGAAAAGTTCGTCAATGACAGCTTCGATGAGTTCTTGCGGAAACGCGTCCATAGTGCAGAGTATGTATAATCTAGAAAGGCAAATCTGCTGTCTCAGTAAACTCGTAATGGGAGTAAGACCATTCGCCACGCACAATATCAGGTCCGAATATCTCTAGAATCTAGAGGAAATGGGTATCAATCTCCTCGTCATCCCTTCTACTTAAGCAAACAAAATTTGGGGATGCGACCCGGTGTTGATAACGGTAGGTCTGGGGTGAATACTGGAACCCGGATGACGGGGTGGTGAGAGGGGTGTGGATCGGCTATTGCCGATTACCGGTTTCCGGATCCGGACTAGAGTACCTTTTTCAATTCTACGCGCATCCACCAGTTCGAATTCGCCGTTACGCGAAAGTCGGCAAACGTGTATTTGGTCAAATGGCGTCTAAGTTTAGGAACGTGTATCCCTCCAGTAGTAGCAAGCCGAAATTTTACTTGACAACGCGAGGTCTGCTGCAACCTCAGACTGTCATTCTGAATTCACAACCGTTCGACGGCAACAATGCAAGGTTCCAGACGAACTTTGAAAAAACAGTGGCGTAGGTAACAGCTTCCTGCGATTCAACCTTGATTGAACCAATCACTTGATGAGTGTTACTGGAGATACAATGTGTCTGATAGAAATCAACGCCGGTCCTCGAAAGAAAAGATGAGGCGGAGTTAGAGTAACGTACCCGAAGTCAAAAGTACATCGTATGGACATGCCGATCAGGAGGACTGATATGAGAGGATGCACCTGACACGATGCCAGACTAACGGACAATCAATTAATGCGCAATGGACGGTTTCGATGCACTCCACCCGAATGACCGGTCTTCCCAGCATTTTTGACCATCTGCGCGGTGCTCGGATAAGCTGACAAGCTTGTAGGACACGGGTGTGGGTATAAATCACAGAATGACATTTCCTCGGCACCAAGGGCTGCGATGATAGCATCTTCTGGTCACAGAGAAGGACGCGAATGGTCCGTCGGACCCCCGACAGCTCTACGAGGAGGGATAAGTATGCAAGGAAGTTATTGGAGGATACGAGACAATTGAGCTGCATGTCTAGATGCCAAATCTAAGTCATGCTTCGACGTCAACACCAGTGACTACCAGCTGCTAGTAAGCTTACACTATGTCCAGATTAGCTTGGGAACCCGTTCACCCATGGACTCGGAGAGCAGAAGTTAAACGCCGCATGTATCATGTGGTCAGTAAAAACCGAGGACGTTCGGTTCGAGCAAGAAGGGCAAGGAGTATATTGATATAGCCTTTTCACCCTCCATCTTCGTTGACAAACTTGTTGAAAGATTACCAGAGTTCTTCGAGCTTCTGCGAAAAGCGGCTACGCGCCCAGAACCAAAATCTCGCCGTGAAAGCAGATTTCATCTACAAGGGGCAATGACCATAAATGTAATGATTTTCGCTGCTGTTATGCGTACCGAGTGCATACCGATTGAGCACTTCGCTCCTTAGGTACGGTTATCGATTGAACAGAAGATTGGGTAGCACGGTCCAAATCACTCGAGCGAGCCTGACTCAGAGTAACAAGAGTCTTTAGGCTAATAATATGTGGCTACTCCATGCCGCATGAGAAGGTCCTTCGCGTTCAATGGTAATACAAGACTGGAGACCTGTAGACGCTTGACTAGTACTCTGAGAGAAGCGGTGGGAAATATGTGAGCATTCGGGCCGGGTAACCGAAGTTCGAACAAGCACGTGAACGTTCTTCCCCGGCGGGAAATAAGCTTTTGCAGTCAAATCGGAACAGTTACATACATGGCGCCTACTGCAAGGTAATGCTCACTAGAAACTTGGTATGTATAAGACAATCAAAACAAGGATGCACTAAATCTCGATGTACAGCATAGTAAATGCTGCCTATCGAGCAACTTTAACTTCAAGATACACTCGTAGTAGGTGCACCAAAGTCTACACCTCTGAGCAATCAGCCTGACACAGCTATCTATTGGACAGCCCGAATGGACCTGCCATTTACAAGTAAAACTGGACTTCTGACCCCTCGCTCTCCCATAGGCATCGAGCGCTACGGTTATGACTCTTCTATGAGGGTCACTTCTGGTGTAGATCGATTGCGAGTAACAGAAAGGTATGTCTGTACAATTAAGGCAGTCCGTCGGAAAAATTAAGGCAGTCAGACACGTTGAATTCAGCCTATACTGTTTAACCAGCGCCGCTAGAGGTTCATGATGTGCTTATCACTTTTTCATGCGTCTTCTGAATTCCTTTCACATGGGCATCGAAGAAACAGCAGAAATAATCTCAGGCTTCCCGAATTAACCTACAGCTTCCTCTGGTGGTCAAGTTCCGCTCCGGATGACTATCATGAGTGTTGACTCTATTTTGAACTTACGAGTAACTTGAAATGCCATCCTCTGCATTGCTATCACTTGGACGCCCGATGGAAGATCTATTCAAGATACTGAGGAGTCTTCTCGGGGCTGTGTATTCTCTATGAGAAAAGATGATTCATAGTCACGGACGCTTCTTCGTCAAGATTGTTCCCAGGGGATACTCTGCCTGCTGGACCTTGATTTGTTAGCGAATTAGGCGTCTCTGGTTAATGAATATGACGTTTTCATGCCGGCACTAGGTACCACTGAGCTGGCTCTATCTGATTTGTGTCTAATCCTCATGCATTGCAGCCGCGCCAACTATCGGTGATCGGGCCTCAGTAGACAAAGGAGCCCTTGCCCAAACCGAGACGGAAGAATGATGACTGTTAGCTGATGTCAGCGCCACCATAAAACGCACCATAGCCTTGGGGGGGGAAACAAAGGAGTCGACTCCCTTTTGCGTTACCGTCCAAATCGGTCAGGAGTTGGCCGCGGTTCTACTTGATACCATCGACCAAAAGCAGTGGCTAGTATCCCCGTATGCTTCTGCTTACGCGTCCTGATCGTAGACTGAACCAAATTCTCCCTAGAAATCGAACTGCGGACGCCGTCGAAACAACGATGGATGTGACATTGAATATCGAAAATGCAAAGCGTCACCTCAGAGGCAGTTCAAGCACTGGTAGGTACTTGGAACCCCATCAGGACTCGTCTTCGAATCCATTTGTGGTCAAGACAAAGCAACGGCGGAGGCAAGGTGGAGTAGGTAGACATCGAGACCTCGCTACCTAACAAAGGCCCCTTGACTCATTCGTGGAAAGGACATCTACGAAGACCAGGCTGTAAGGATATCATTGATCTGGCGATACACCGTCTTTGAGCGGGTTTGTGGCAGGTATGTTTAGTCCCGGATATAGCTTTTATATATATATGACACTAAAAAATACCTAGCGTTCTTCATTCAAACGCCGATGTCGCGACACGCAGCTTACATGCAGCATGAGATGCGTCGGAAAATACCGACAGTGGCCAGTTCTTCTAGACGCCGTTCACAGCAGGTCAAGCCCAATCCAGTTGTTCATAGCACTCGAAGATCGTCACGAGTGTATTTCAA